CGAAGCGCAAGTCCATGGACGATTTTTACTGCAGCTGCATTATCAATAATGTCTTGTATTAAGGGTGAATTTATCTTGCATTTATCTTGAATTAATCTGAAAAAATATGTTATTTTCGCGCTGCATGACTGAGAACAAGTAAAATGGTAAAGCTTCATTGTGTACGGCTGGTTCGTGCTCATAAAAAGAGCGTCAAACTACACGCACGTTGTTGTTCCTAGTACACATCTTTTATTGCCACTTAGCATTTTCATTTTCATTTGGCCACTTAGAGAAGCGGATTCTTCGCTGTAATTCATCGTTACGCACTCGACCTGCGGCCGCTGTGTACAAATTGTGCCCTATATTAGGCGAAAAATCGAGAGATCTCTCTTTTTTTCCACGGACTCGAGTTCGTTGTTTATGTATATTGTAGCAAAGAATTAACTCTCGCTTAGCACCTCAGAGATGCACGGTACAGAAAATGTGTGGACGAGCTGAAACGAGAGCACATTTACGGGCGCTAGTGCAAAACTTTCCCATGGGCAAATATATAGCCGAGGGTATAAAGATCCAGTGGCAGTTGGTGCGACGAGTCCGAAACGACAATGTCGAGCCTCTTGAGGTGCGCTGGAGTCTGTGGTGCTTCGATTATCCTCATCCTCGTGTTCTTGGATCGTTCGTTGTTGGCGCTTGCAGCCAACACCGATCGTCTCAACGATGATGGCTTCAGTAATAAAATCATCGATAATCCGGTCAAGTCGACTAGTCTTCTAGCAACGCGAGGTCACAAACACTGGCTACTCTGTGAGTAATAAATAACATTAATCAGTTTTTAATCACTGTGATGTGACATGCGTTCTGTGTCGGTAGAATTTGATTCTCGTATATTAGAGCTGAGCTTGCGGATTATTCAAGTCTTCACGAATTCTCTCAGTTGTGCCGCAGCGATGTATTTTTAATATACATCTTGATATTTTAAATCGTCAATTGTACTTAAACAAAACGAAAAATTTCATATCGACTAGTTTAGAAATAAGGTTAACAAAAACGTATTGAACTTGAAAAATATAGAACGTCGTGTAAGCTAATTCCAGGGATAATTAACCGAAAGTTTCCAAAGTCGTATAATTCTTTTAACGTGAGCGTAATTTTTACTTTACCTAAAAGTGGAAAAGCGCAGCAATGAAAATGTTCAAAGTTGTGTTTTAATAATCGCCTTCTTTGATGTACGTACCTTTCACATTTTTCAATGCGCACATGTAATTAGCCTTTTTTGTACACTTCTTTGGAGCCTTTGTTTGGCGAATAAAAAAGTTTCTTTTTCTGCATAAATTGATTCAAATGACTATATCCTGAAACAAAAAATTTAAATCACGATCCGAGCATTAACAATAGTTAAATCGAGAAAAAATAAAATATTTTTATTCATACTAAATGCGATAGTTTAATTCGTTATGCATATATATAAGGCTCGAGACTCGACTCGAGTCTGTCTAGGCCATTCATCAAAAAGAGGCGTGGAGTTGCAGTGACTGCAGGGTATACGAAGAGACCATAAACTTAACGCGCTGAGTCATGTCTCTTCTGGCCTTTCGTCTCGAAAAAAAGCGAATAGTAAATTGGTATAGCTGGGTTTCATTGACAGCCAAAACATTAACGCGATTGAAAGAACGTCTTTGAGGCATTGATTCCAAATGCGCAACGCGCTGCGCTCGGTAAAACATATAATCGGCTTCCCGAATAAATATAATGGGATGCGAAGTGGTTTGCTGCGCCAGCTGGCGACAGTGAGCAACGAAATATAATAATGATGCTTTTGCGTATGTGGTTACAGAAATATACGAAGCAAGCGTAAAACTGAGGAATCACATCTTTGTTCTTATCACTGTTAGCAGAAACGAGTCAGGTAGCAGCACCTTTATAATAAGATATTTATAACAACTCGCCCAAGTTTTTTGCAACAAATCACACATTCGAGATTACTACCCTACCCTCGTTCGAATTCATTCAGGGCATCTCTGTATACATCTAACATACATTATCAATGTGTGTCACGAGCTTACGTGAATTGTATCGGTATGTTTCGGAAGCATCTTGCAGCAGTGGTAGCCAACCTTCTCGTAAACGCAGTTGTTGACTATATAGTACTGTACTACGTCCGCTACGTCACTTTTCATGGCAGCCATGATTTCCATAATTGCATTAGCATACTATTCTTTCTCTCTTTTTACAACGTGTACATTCAAGAGTACGTCTAGCAACTTCGAACGTTTCTGCGCGATGACGCCTATATACTCCAACCGTACACATTTTCCTTGCATCTTTTTTCTCTCTTTTACAGCTCGCTCCTTTACCGCATTTTGTTTTTTCGTTTTTCCAACCCAGCACTTTCTCAATATTGAAAATGCTAACGATCCATGTTTATATTATGCGTTTATTCTTTTATAATTTTTAAAGAAGCTCGTGTGTATGTTTTCTTTATATAGCGAAGTCCACGTATAGTTTTATCAAAAAATACCGTGATATTGATTCACCGCAATATCCCTCGATTGCTCTTCGTTTTTCTTTGTGAAAGGTCAGCTTCAAAGCTAGCGTTTGTTTTATTAAATCAATATTGCAGCTTTTCGATTTATAAAAGATTCGATTAAGCTCGAGAGACCAAAAATTCTAAAAATAAAAGCTACATATCACAGACGGACGATAAATAGTTAAGCTAGCCATTTCGATGTTTCATAGATATTTTATTAAAGTACCGATTAGTAAAAACTGTGAATTTAAAATTTGAAAATTATAAATATTGAATTTACACCGATACAGTGCTTATATTCTAAGCAATTCAATAATCGGACACAAATTTGTCGAAAGAGTCGTTTCTACGTGTGTAGCAGTCTCAAACTTTCTTATGACGATTAATCGTCGAGCTTTCATCTCACGGACTCTTTAAAAGTACATAAGCGACTCTGAGAAAAATGCAATTTTAAAAGTTAAATGTATATACACCGTCGGGGGAGCTTTGAATGAAGTAGAATATGAAATAGCCTGACGAGAGAAATGATAATACCTTATCTCCCTCGGCAAGAGAATGAGCTATTTGAAACTTTAGCTGGGAAATATACATAATAACGAGCGCGAGATCCTCTTTGTATTAATATTGGCGTTTTATAGTTATTAAATAGTTCGCAAGCTCGAGTTAATCATCGCGGCAGTCTTTATCAAGGTGAAAACGGTGTACATTATATTATACGGACGCGAGCAGAGCTCACCTTGACGTTACCGTCGGCGTAGGCAGACTGACTTTTATGTATATGTGTGATGAAGTTAATATACCACGTGGACTGCACGCGGAGCTGTGTCGCGCGACTACTCGCTTTTCCTCGACGTCAAATATATAACTCGTTTAAATGAAGCTAGATTGCCCAAAAGAATATGCCCATGTTTTATAGGCAGCGCGGCGAATGGAAAAGCTCCCCGGCTCAATTCTTCTCTCGCGTCTTCTTCGTGCCGGAGTCGACGAACGGAAGTAGCGAGCCAAGTTACGATACAGCATTGCAGGTGGCACAGCAAGTACAAGTTTCACGCGAGCGCGAGCTCGTTATATACACCGAGGCTAATAAATATTGCATTATGAATACGAGCAGCGACGGAACGCAATTGTCTGTATATACACATACATTATAGCGAGTGCAGCCGCCAGGACGACTCCTCGGAATGCTTTTTCATTTTCCAGAAGCAGCAGAAGCCAGCAGTACTAGATTCTCTTGTCCTCGCCCTCTTTTTTCATTTTGACGCAAGCCAAGAACTTGAGCTCGCGCAAGAAAAGAGAGAATTAAAGCTCGCACAAATATGCTCTTGGCAACTTGTAACATGTAACTTGCCTTCGACTCTCTGTGATTATTATATATAAATATACAAGCTGTGAGCGAAAACTGCGGGTATTAACATTTGCTACGCGGAGCAAGTTATATCCTCGGGATGATATTCGGGCTGCACTTGACGACACGTGTTTGAGCTACCTATACTATATCGCGTCGCCAAATGCAAATCACGATGCTCTACACATATTATGTGAGCCATACATATTTCAGCATGTGAAGCTTATTCGTAGCTGTCGAGAATTGATTTTGCTAATGTTCAAAGAGCATCCATCTATCGAGACAGCTATGTTTATCGGCATTTACTCGCAGTACATATAATACGAAACGAAACACTTATATGACGAACCCGTGAGCGAATACTTGATTGTATTATATACCTATATAATGTTTTCAATTGGCTTCGTTCTATAGTCGACCGTAAATTGATTTCGTTGCTCTTCAAGTGAATTATTCCTACTTTTTAATAAATCCCTAATGTGTCAAATGAAACTTTTCAATCTATGAAATCTCGCTTATAAGAATTAACAATATAATTTAAATCTATAAAAACTCACTTAATAGAATTACAATATAATTACAATATAATTTTAATTTTAAATACAAATTCTCATGAATTATAAACTTTACTTTTTTAAATAAATTTTTATTATTTCCAATAATTAGTTCTTGGTGGATTGAAAAGCGTAGCTGCAGTCGTGCTACTAAAGTTCAAGATAATCCTCATGTTCGCCACCATCGTTGCTGTTGTCATTTACACCATTAAGTACCTGCTTGGTCCAGCCAGTTTCTCAGGCATATATAAGGGAAACTTTTTTAGTCCGCCCGTTGCTCCTTACATAGCTCCCTATCATCATTACCATCATGATGAATATTTACCTAGCGTCGTTCATGATTCTTTGCATAGTTATGGTACAACTGAACATGGTATGTTCCATTTTCACTATTATTCATTACGTATAAATAAATCAACAGCTTTCGAGAACTTAATTGAATAAAAATAAAACTTGATTTTATTATTTTGTGTTCACATTCAAAAATATTTTTTTTTATTTATAAATTTTTTATCTCTTAACGAATCGATGTCAGGAACAAAATTTTTTCAAGTGCAGAGAATAATAATTCATTGAATTAAATTTACAAACATGAAGCTGTATGTTTTATAATTTTTACTACTACAAAATATAAAATAAATATTTTTATATACAGGATATGCTATTCCTTGGGATCATCATTCAAGTAATCATCATTCAGTTCACGAAGAATACAATGGAAGCGACAATAAATGGTCTAAAATTGGCGATGGTGGAAGGAGTTCAGAAAAACAAAATAATTTGTTTTTGAATCTTTTGAAAATAATGGAAAAATTTTCAAAGCCACCAAAGAAAAAAATTATTAAGAAAGGGTAGCTTTAACATTATAATAGGTAAAAATAGCAATATTAACTTTGTACAGTATTGTAAAAACAATAATTGATTGGTGGTACACAAACATATGATGACTGCAATATAACAAACCAAGTCATTATCATTGCCTAATTTTTCACATGAATCAATAAAGACTCATTCAATTGGCTTTAAATGTATAATTCAAAGTCGATTCGTGCTGCACTATGAAAGTCTCCATTTTGACCAATTTTCCGAACCCATGCTCCATTTTTAAAGTATCCTTCCTTTGACCATGTATGCATTTGTTCGCTAGTGTGAGGTCCATGTACTTCAGCTTCTTTTTCTTGAGACCATTTCAACTCCCAAGAGACTTCAGTAACTAATGGATCTTCTTTTTGATTCAAACCTTTGGGTGCTGATCCTGACACATTAAAAGAAATTTCATTGTATTTTAAATTTACAAAATTCATGTTGTAAATAGATTAATTATTATTTTTCATTCTACATACCTTCTCCATCATTTAAATCTTTTAATTTAATTTTTTCTTTTGATTCAAATTCATCTGAGAACATATCACACTCTGCTTCAATTTTTGTAGATGCTTTATTTGCTTCAGTTATTTTCTTTTGTATTTTTTCGTGAGTTTCTTGATAAATATCCATATTACCGGTACGAGTCAATAACTCATTTGCCAATTCAGTTAATTTTGTAATAGCAACAGAATTTTCATCTTCATTTTTTACTGCATTAGGATCTTTTTTCAGTTTCCATCGTTGAGCTGTAGTTAACTTTTGTTTACCTTTTCCTATTGAAATGATAATATATTTATTATTTTTTTTTTCATAAAATAAGAATAAAAATATAAACTTTCATTTTACCTAATCTACATAAAGCTTTTGATACTGTTTCACCAGGTTTTAAATAATCCAAGATCTGTGTGTAAAGTGAAGTGGGATCAAACATAAAATCTGGATCGTTATCACTATCATTGTCTGCATCATTTTTTTCATTGTTTTCACCTTCCTTTACTTTATCTTTAACCTAAATAAATTTTAAGTTGATTAATCAATGAAAATGAAGTAAAAAAATTAATATTTGATTTTATTACCTTTACCCAGTCTATGTTATCTAACCAATTGTCTCGAACTTCTTTATCTTTTTTCCAATGATAATGTCCTTCTTTATCAAAATGACCCTCCTCCAACTCTTCTTTCATGTTAAAAGCTGTAAAGCCATGGTTAGTATCTAACGTTGATGGTCCATCTTCCTCTCCTATGTAAAAATGAATTATAGTTCAACACTGATGAACAATGAAGTTTTACTTATTAGTTAAGTATTCTGAAATGACAACTCAAACAGTTATTTGTATGTCAATTATCACCTTCAATGTCTTTTTCCGACATTACATTATGATATTCTTCTTTTTCTTCTTCGTCTTCTTCATCAGAATCCAAAGAATGTTTAAAACTAGGCTCTTCTTTAGTCTCTAAATATTCGTCCAACTTTCTTTTAGACATTTTTATCAAATGATGAAAAATGTCAAAGATTGAAAATGTTTTCAATTTACACCGAGTGTAATTGTCGAGGTTATATTACCTCGGCCACAGCCCGCAGTCCGCACTCCGCAACTGCACTTGCGTACGCAGACCCGCAGCGCCAATACACTAGCGCAATCAAAAAGCAAAACGATTGAAATCTACTGTACCCATCGTCCCTCTGCCTTATCAAAAGTGAATAATACAAAGATCAGAAAATGGAATAGAGAGACTTTTTTATCAGCTGCAGATTTATATTTTCTTTATAGGCGAGCGGGAGGTTACCCAAAAAACAGGGTTGACCGACCACGGAGAGGGGAGTGGGTAAACGACATGATTCCTTACGTATTTTTCGTCGCTGAATCCGAATATGAAATTTATTTTACTCTAAAATGACAGCGTCATGGAGAAAAACGCGATTTTCATGAAAATCGCGGTATAATGAATTTCTCATTTTTTCGAGTTCAACTCGCTGTAACTTTTTTTGTAGTAAATATTTTTTGATGAAATTTTAACAGCATATTCTAGCACTCAAAAGGAAGAAAATAGCGTCAAGCAGGTGTCGAAAAGTTTATTAGAACCGAAGATATGATTTTTTGAACATAAAAAACGCGAATTCATGAATTCTTAACTTCGGATTAAAAAGTTGAGTGACGAAATTTCGAAATTCAAAATATAAACTTCACAGCACTAAAATATATAGTATAAGGAAGTTTTTGGTAAAATTTGAGATCAAAATATCAATTAGGGAAGAAATGGCAAGAGTTTCAATATTAGCGCACCGAGCGCGCGCTCGCCGCGCGTGCAGCGCAGCAGCCGCCTCGCCGGCTAGCGTTGCGCGTTGGCCCGTGTAATGGTGCATACAGTTTAATAATTAATATATGAAATCCATTTAATTGTTTTTATTGAACATATGGTCAAATCTCAAAATAAAATTCCGTTTCGTTAACAAAAAAAGGTGAAATTTTTTTTTGCGTGCCCAGTGGCCCGGACCCCCGCAAATTCTTCATAGGACCTCCAGGAGTGAAAAAAAACGCGTGAACATGAAATTTGTAAATAGTTAGTTTTTTTTGGGTCACTTTTGTGTTTTAGATGCCGAAAAGCCATCTTTTCACGCAAATACGACTTATTGCTCGATTTCCAAGTCGTTGAAAAAGTATAAAAAATCATCTAAAAATTTTAACTGACCACTGTATTCGATAGGAAATTTCCTCAGCTTTCTCATGGTGCAGTTGGATTTTCCGATTAATTTCATTTTCCCAAGGAAAAATCAAAAATAAGCCATAGAAAGCACTTTTTCCGTACTACATTTTTCGACATATTTAGCCCTCAATGTTTGATGGCGATTTTCGTGGTGAAATTTGGATATTTCGGAAAATCAAATAGTACCATCGGAAAGCTGAGGAAATTTCCTATCGAATACAGTGGTCAGTTAAAATTTTTAGATGATTTTTTATACTTTTTCAACGACTTGGAAATCGAGCAATAAGTCGTATTTGCGTGAAAAGATGGCTTTTCGGCATCTAAAACACAAAAGTGACCCAAAAAAAACTAACTATTTACAAATTTCATGTTCACGCGTTTTTTTTCACTCCTGGAGGTCCTATGAAGAATTTGCGGGGGTCCGGGCCACTGGGCACGCAAAAAAAAATTTCACCTTTTTTTGTTAACGAAACGGAATTTTATTTTGAGATTTGACCATATGTTCAATAAAAACAATTAAATGGATTTCATATATTAATTATTAAACTGTATGCACCATTACACGGGCCAACGCGCAACGCTAGCCGGCGAGGCGGCTGCTGCGCTGCACGCGCGGCGAGCGCGCGCTCGGTGCGCTAATATTGAAACTCTTGCCATTTCTTCCCTAATTGATATTTTGATCTCAAATTTTACCAAAAACTTCCTTATACTATATATTTTAGTGCTGTGAAGTTTATATTTTGAATTTCGAAATTTCGTCACTCAACTTTTTAATCCGAAGTTAAGAATTCATGAATTCGCGTTTTTTATGTTCAAAAAATCATATCTTCGGTTCTAATAAACTTTTCGACACCTGCTTGACGCTATTTTCTTCCTTTTGAGTGCTAGAATATGCTGTTAAAATTTCATCAAAAAATATTTACTACAAAAAAAGTTACAGCGAGTTGAACTCGAAAAAATGAGAAATTCATTATACCGCGATTTTCATGAAAATCGCGTTTTTCTCCATGACGCTGTCATTTTAGAGTAAAATAAATTTCATATTCGGATTCAGCGACGAAAAATACGTAAGGAATCATGTCGTTTACCCACTCCCCTCTCCGTGGTCGGTATGTCCCTTTTCTAAGCGACTTTTTGGCAACCTCCCGCTCGCCTATTAAAAATGTACCGATGACTGTGATTGCTTATATTCTGAACTATATTATTAAAAATTAAAATTTTAAGTTGGGTAATTCTTTTTCTGAATCTTGATTCAATTCATAGATATTGAAATTAGGTTTGATTTCTACTTTTCCAGAGAATTATTATTATTAACTAAAATTGTAAAATATGAGTTATAGAGTGAGCATTATAATTTATGTCAGCTGTTCAAATATACTGATACAGACAAGGTGCACGATTTACGCGTAATTAGTAATGTATTCCAAATTGTTTATCATAAAAAAGGGGAAACGAGTACCTATCGGACCCGTTTAGTAGTTCTCACTCATAGCTTAGCTACACATACAAGCTCTATGTGCGGGTCTCAGTTGTATTAGTCGTTGTATATACAGAGAGATCTATCAACCCCGCAGGTCGTCACGCGTCGCTCATGCATCTCTCATTATTTCGCACGCAAACTCACCTCTTCTGGGACACGCTTGCAAGCTCGCAAGCTCCTCAAGCTTACAATATAGCGTATAACTGCTCTCTGCCTCTCTCTATCTCTCGCTATACGCCGGGTATCTATCTATTCTCCTTTACTCTGAACAGTACTCCATTCGAAATTCTACTGTAATTGGCACAAGAGACTTGCAACGACGTGCACACATTTGTCGTGCAAAAGCATCTCCTGGCAATATTGTAATCTCTGTACATACGACTCGCTCTTTCTATTGCCGAGATGCATATTCCATGCTAGTTGACACGGTTAATTCAATAATAAGTGGCTGAACAGCCAAGCCGCAAAACTAGACAGTGTAAACTTACTAAGGGATCACCTTGTTTTTCTGTTCCAGTTATTACATTTATGCTTTAATAACTAATTAAAACACTCTGTTTTGGATTCATTCGTTGAAGTTTATCGATAATAAATGTTCAAATCGATGCAACAACTTTGCTATGAATGAAATCTAGCTTTTGGAAGTAATAAAATAAAAAGAAAGAAGAAAATCAAAACAACTCAACTGTTTGGGCAGGTTTCTGTGATGTTATATATGTATATATTTTTTTTCAAAGACAAACAAAAGTTCTCTAGCAGAATTGTATTACGTAACCTGCCAGTCACAGCGGATGCGTGTTCTTTGAGAATAGCTTGTTTACCAATAGTTTTCATACATACGTTAAGACAGCATTGCCATCAAGAAAACGTGGAGCGAATATTCTCTTTTCGTGCCTTTTTTTACTTCTCAAGTCCCAGGGTACAATTCCATTTTCAACCGTACTTTTTTACTAATGCATTGTAAAAGCGACTCATATGTATAATAAATTCTTACACCGAACTACCGAAACGTTTATTATTTAACTTCAAATAAGTAAACGAGTCTATTAAACTGCTATAAAAGCAGTTTATTATATACATATAATATATATATTTATATATATATATATATATATTTGTTTTTATAAAAATTGATTTATAATATGTAACATGTTAAACAAACAAAGATTTTTGATAGCAAGTAATACAGCACTGAAGCCATTTGTTGTTCATTTCAATTTTTTCTTTTTTTAATTATTTTGAGTCTTTTAAAATTTGTTGGTTTTCGATTGAAAACAGTTAGTGTGCAGTCAAACTATTTTGTCTGCATTGAGTTCTGTGAGAAGATGGTAAGTAGATTATTTGGATCAATGAAATACCGATGCCAAGATAAAAATTAAAATTTTCCTGTAGGTTTCCTGCTATTTCCAGTAAATTTATTTAAATATCTACATGAACAATAAAATAAAGATATTGACATAGATTTATAGAAAAATATACAAAAGAAATCTCGGAAAAATTATTTGAAAATTCGTATTTTTACTTTGGTTTAGCTATCTCTTTAACCCTTAATTATCACTCTTTATTCTTTGCGTTACAATTACATATTACCGATCTTCAATACTGCCAGATATTTAAACGGCGTAATTATTTGCAGAACTCGAATATACATAAGGTTAGTGAGTTGTATGTACTTTATGGCAGCTTGCTCCTTTATTGCTTGTACAAGAACACAGATGCCTTATTGAGTGCCGTAATCGACAGGGCGTTGTGAAATTGTTGATTTATTAGCTCATCTTTTAAGCTTTGTGCCTTAGATTAACAATAATTTATTAAAGTTAGAGGAGATTACCTGCAGAGAATCATTGAGATATATTGTCGAATAGAAAAAAAGGAAGAAAAAGTTGTTGTTTTTTAAGAACACTAAACTACAATCAAAAAGTGATTTATTAAATTAGTTATCAAATGCCTAATACACTATGAATGAAAGTTTAAATTATTAGCTAACGAGTTTATTTATTCCCTCCATCAGTCCTTGAAATTGTTCTTCAATAGCGTGCAAAATCTGGAATTTAAGATTTGATATTTTCTATGTCGTACTTGACATTATAAATTTTATATAAATAGTTGATTACCGCCTGTACAATGAAGTTTTCACCCTTAATTGGCTCATTTGATTGATCTGTTTCAGATTCAATTGGATTAGCCTGCACAAAATAAACAAATGAATAAATTTTATAATACAAGCAAGAAGTATAGTTATGGATTGAAAGATTATGATACTTACGCAGGCCAAAGCGATGGCAATAAAAAAAATGAAACATACTTTATTGAACATTGTGATGTGCACTTACACGTGTTCAAGCAGAAATCAAACTATAACTCGAAATGAAACTCGATACTTTATATATACTTTATAATACACGTTTTTGTATGATATAATCAATAATACATTCAATTCATTAAACTTCGTGACCTACGGTTAAATAAGCACTTAATATCTTTCCTCGTAAATACGAAAATATATAAAACGGAAGTGATTCGCAATAAAAGGTAATAAATAATCATTCAGCAATTATTTCGTTTGTTACATTAGACTGAATGTTTAAAAAATGCAAATAATTAACTGTCATTGCCGATAAAATTCAGTTGAACATATGAACGCAAATTCTATTAATATTTTAAAATTCGGAAAATACAAATGAATTTACGAGATTGGGATTTATTCATTCTTAATTAAATTTCTGGTTCAAATTCGAATTGGAGCTTAACTAGGGGAAAATTCGTTCATTAAGTCTATCATTTTCGTACTCTAATTTTTCTTTGATTAGACACTTCAAAATAATTAATATACATAAAAATCGATTATTACGTTAAACGTAGAAATGTTACTATTGAGGATTATACGACACTGCAGTGCCTTTATGTATTCAATGTTAGTTTACATAAGAACTAGAGGAATAGGGTGTGGCTGGAGGGCCCTATTCCACCAGTTTTTATGGGTCACTCGCAGTACTTTTAAACACTCAACGAATTCGTTACTCTTTTCTTTTGACTGTGCTAGACCAATATCAAGACAATCATTTCGCAAATTTCACTGTTTCAGGTTAAAATTGTTCTACCTAAATTAAACTTTGCCTTTAATTTAATATCAATCAATTTTCAGAAAGTTACGAAATTATAATTAGAAAAAAACGACCGAAGTAGGCAAAAAAGAATCAATGCAAATATTTTTGATGCTAATGATAAATTTAATATAAAAATATATTTAATCAGCGGAAGGAACTTTTTTTTTAATTTCTGAAAGCAGATGTTTCATACATATTACTATCAAATTTAAAATTATAATAACACATCTATGTAAGTTTGACGGCTTTTAAAAATTCATGGAAATAATCCAAAGTCATCCACCTTTTTGATACAAAAATAGAAATATTTATTTTTTATGCCCATGTTTTGCTTTTGAGAGTTTTCAAGGTGACTTAATTTCCTCTATATTAGAAGCATGGGCGATCCATTCTGACCACAACCACACACTCGTCGAGACATCTGGAAGATCGTCGATACTAAGGCTTACAATACCCACTTGAACTCCTCTTTCGTCTACAACAGGACCTCCAGAATCACCCTGAAAATGATTAATTGATTGAAAACCAATGTTAAAAGCCAATGAAAAAAATACTAACTTTGCAACTATACTGATTTCCAACAGTACATATCATTCCACGATCAACCACTGGCAAAAGTTCCAACTCGGGAAAAATAAGTTCTGATTCGTTATGATTTTTGAAACTTTTCTCCAAATACTAATTTTGACACTTATCAAAATCATATATTTTTCTTCTAGCAACGTGTAAATTATTAGTTTTTTCATCATGGTCCTCCTAAAGAATTGTACATAAATTAGTGTAAAGTAAACAAAGATTTAAAAATCAATAAAAACATACCATGCATTGTTCCGTATAGCCCCAACCAGTGAGTATTACAGAAGCACCTACTGCGAGAAGATCTTCTGAATTTTCTGAAGAAGCTAATTTAACTGGTTGTACTTTATCATTGAATTCCATATCCTTTGCAACTCTGAGTAATGCGATATCAGCCATATACGGTAGGAATAACTATAAAATTATAATTTTTTAGTCATTATTTGGCAAATCTACAAGCGCTACGCCAAGCGGAAAAGCCCCCAAATGCTCCCAGAAGAAATATGTGACATACGTTTTCGATGTGTTTTTTCATCAGCTTACCTATGATGAGGTTGAATTTTCAAAAATTTTCCATTTTCCCCCGAGAAACTAGACGAAAACTTTTAAACTAGAGTATTCTAAAAATTATATTTAAAATTTTTTTTTAAATAATAATTTAAATCGAAAGATATAAACATTTACCATCAATATAGTTATTTTTCAGACAATCGTTTTTTTCGCTAGATAATACTTGATAAATATGGGGCATGATCGTCCACACATCCATACACTTTAAAGACACGTCTTCGTCATTCAAGTACGAATTATTTTTGTATAAGAAAATCCAAAAAGACAACCAAACTTGTGAAAAAGTGAAACCATAGAAGTTAATAATACAATATGACAGTGAAGGGTGCTCATTGGTCCAAACTCCTCATGATTTTTTAATAATATCTCGAGAAAATCTTCTGGAAAATGACCGTATCGATGGGAAACTTTTTTTCCATTGATCTAAACTTTAAAAAAAAATTGTAAAATAGAGTTTGAAAGTTTATATCAAGATTTTGCGGTGAATTAGAGAATTATACTTCATTATTGGAAAGCTAAGGAAAAAGCACATTTAAAAAGTATATCACATATTTTTAGAAGAAGCATTTGGGGTATTTCATTGCGAATTCAAAACTGCGATTTCGCCTAATAATGTCGAGCGACATAGCACTAGATAGAAAACTTGACATGAAATGATGCGTTTTTTTATTTCGATTTTTCAGAATTTTTGTACATTTGTGTGTTGAATTTTTTTCCTTTTTGTTTATTGGTGTTTTATATTTTTCAAAAATGCAATGCACTTATATAATATTCAAAGCGTAACGTTTAAAGTACAGCGCTCAGATAATAATTATTTATGTAATAAGTGCGCAAAAAGCTGGGCACTTTGCAATGTGCAAAAAAAGACATTTTTTAGTGCGCTAAAAGCGTTTTGGACACTTATATACGGTAAAATGCCTCACTTTGGACACGGGTGTGCGGTAAAATGACTCATTTAAATGAAAGTATTTTTCGCTTACTATTGCATAATAGTTATTTATGTAACAAGTGCCCAAAAGGCGTTTTCGGGCACGAGTGTGCGGAAAAAGACACGAGTGCCGGCTATGCCGGCATGAGTGGGTGTTTTTTCCGCACACTGTGTGCAAAAAGCTCGGTACGTGTTGCATACAAAATTTTATGCAATAGTAGGCGAAAAATACATTCATTTAAATGAGGCGTTTTATCGCACACCCGTGTACAAAATGGGGCATTTTACCGCACACAAGTGTCCAAAAACGCTTTTTGCGCACTAAAAAATGTGCGAAAAAAGACATTTTCGTCATACTATTGCATAAAATTTTGTATGCAACACGTGCCCAGCTTTTTGCGCACAGTGTGCGGAAAAAACACCCACTCGTGCCGGCATAGCCGGCACTCGTGTCTTTTTCCGCACACTCGTGCCCAAAAACGCCTTTAGAGCACTTGTTACATAAATAAATATTTTTTGGGACCATGGTTAAGGCTGCAATTACGGGCACATGATCGGATTCATAGATTGCCCTTAATGAATGATGCTATGATGGAATATAAAATTAAAAAAATGTATCTCAAGTGTTAGTCCAGAGCAATTTGTAGAGGCCTGGACATTTTAGATGTCCAACTCACATTTCTCACAAAAAATTTACTAGGTCTGCAATGTAAATATCTGAAAATTGTATTTTTTGTTTGTTTTTCAATTAATCGATTCTCTTTACGTTTTTTACTTATTTTTTTTTTTTTTTTTTTTTTTTTTTTGAAACTTTGAAANTTTTTTTTTTTTTTTTTTTTTTATTTTTACTTATAAAAAAGAGAACGGCCGAAAAGTGAAGCCGCGTAAAACGACCTCTGATTGGCTGACACTGACGACGATGCCCGACGCGAGCCGACTCGATACGAGTGCCTGTGATGCCAACTGTCAACAGACTCAAAACACGAAGCGCAATTGAAACTTACTTTTTCTGAACCATTTCTTAATCTTAAACTAACCTTGAAATAAAAATAAAAAAATTGACGCAAGAGAAGCGCGTTTTAAACGTCTAGTTAAGTATTAACAGAGATACGATGTTTGAAACAACGATTATACTATAACTATATACTATATACTACATACTATAAAACAACGATAATACTATGATTGTGACATAACTCTTTCTTTTAAGTATTATTACTAGCCCAACTTTCAGTGCGCTGCGCGCACTTTCTTCGTTCTTATCCCATTTTACCATTTTTCAATATTTGGAAAAGGAAAATAAAATAAATGAAGATTATGTTATAAACTGTAAAAATACGGAATGGGTCGGCTGTTCACCTCTGCTCGTATTTGCGCGCCAATAAACAATTGCAAGCTACTACGACAGCGCTTATGAACTGCTTACACTAAAAACCTCACCACTTTTATAGGATAGGATATCTCCGTTAAAATTAATTAATTAAAAAAAAGAATACACATGTTTAATGATCTTCAAAAATATATGCTGTGGTCTAAATAGATTTTATTCTAAGAAACGCAAATTCTAGTGAAAAATAAGTAACATGAGATTTTACAAAACCTCCGATTTACTGAGAATCGGCCACTTCACTAAAAGTGATAAGGAATTACTTTAAAAATACCAAGGGTTACAAATGTGAACTGATGAGAAGTAACACTGATTGTGATAAAGAATGTACATCGAGGAATGCAAAATATCGGGTTGGTTTTCACCAGAATCATTCCGATTGATCGATAAACAAGGGATGATCCAAGTTATAAATGGGGTACCACTTGTATACCACTGTATGAGACCCAGAAGTAGTAAAAGTTTGCTTAAGGACCAATTCCATAATCCACCACTAACGTACAACCAAGCAATACCAATTCAAGATAGGAAAAATAAGGACAAGACAAACAAAGAAAAGTTTTGGTGGCTTGAAAATGCAGCGTAATTTGGTTACGGAGGTAAGAGCAACGCTAAGAAATTTTGCCTACAACCACATACCCCTCTTAACGAAACTACATGTTTTAAATGGACTTGTAACTAAACAGCTTAGTTTTTTGCCTGCTCCAACCACACCTTAACAAATAAATATAAAAATTAACTAATTGTGTATAGTTCTTTTATAGTAACCTGATTAAGGGAACGAACAACCCATGCAATATTACCCAAAAAACAAGATAGTGTACATCTCACTCAGTATAGATGGTTAGCATTATCTACAGACTTTTAAATAAACTATAAAAAATTAACAAGTTGTGGGTCCGATCACCTCTCCCGAGGTTGCGTCGCCGATAGGTTTGCTCATATATTACGACACCAGCCAAGATTTTTGAAAAATATGAAAAAACCAACAAAATGCTAAGATGAAAATATTTAACTCCTGAAAACAGCTGTATCTCCGTGAGAACGAAATTTTGTTATTTTTTCAGAAAATGCTATAGGAAGGTATAGAAAATCTTTTTTTTAAGGTGAAATCATTTTCTTACATTATCTCCGTAGTATTCATGTTTAATAATTTCTTCTACTTTATAAATTGCAGCATTTTTATCATCTAATTTGGTAATACCAGCAACAACTTGTATAAATTCTGGACTTAGAAACCTAATATTGAAAACAATCAGTAATTATCAAGAAAATTTACTAATGACTTGTTATCGTACCTCATAGAACTGTAATTTTCTTCATAGTCCCAATTATCATATTCAGATTCACTGGGACTTTCAGAAGACGACTTCTGCAGATCATATTTTTTATAGTCTGCATATTCAGAATAGAAGAGCTTAAAGTCAGAAGCTTCGTTATCTGAAATTTCGGCATTCAAATTGTCCAAGCTTTCTTTATTCGAAGTCTCAGTGTATGAATACTCGAAATCAGAACTTTCAACATCTGAACTTGATGTAGTTGAATCTTCCTTTGGTTCATAATCCACATATATACAATGAGCAGCAGTCAATATATAGCGTTTATTTATAATAGATCCTCCACAAAAATGAATTCCACTATTTGGAGTTATTATTTGTAGAGATACTTGATATGGAAATTGACCTTCGCGACCTGCTGTCCCATTCATGACAGCTTGTTTTTCCAATACTGTGTCGTATCGATTTTTTGAAATATAAAATTATAAATGTAAGTATCATGTTCAAAAATTGTTAGAAATCCACTTACCTGCATGGGAACTTGAAAACAAAGTAAAGATGACCAATATTATGGATCTGAATATCATGATGTGGACTACCACGGTAGTAAATTGTAAAAATGTTATTTACTCGGCTCTTACCAGCACGTAAGTAAATAAGCTTAAAGCTTACTTATAATTGAATATAAATAATGTTTTTATAATAAAAACTGGGTTAATCTACTTGTTGAAATATTTTTGATACTGTATCAGTAACTATGATTTCTAATTTTTTTATAATTGATATTGTAACGATACAAAAAGCGTTATAGATATTTATAGATAAAAAAAATTCTACGTGACCAATTTTAATCTCAGTTGGATATAAAAATCATTAAAATTGAATTATTTTTAATAAGAGAAAATACCGTTCAACATTTTTTCACTTTGTAATAATGACAATTTCGATAATTTTTCAATTTTTTATATTAAATCTTTTAATGGCATTAACTTGTCTCTGTACGAATACTAAAAACAATTTTTATCGAATCAAAACAAAATTTAAAAAATAATTCTAGCTAATTGTTGTAAAAAAAATAAATTTCATTTTTTCATCGATCGTATCAGTCACCCGGCTTCTTAAAGATGAAAATTTCAGCTTTACGGTACGTATATTGTTTTGCTCCTAAAGACAACACGTTTTGAATTTCAAGGATATAAACATTCAAAGATTTTCAATATTTTATTATGTAGCTTTTGTAATTAATGGTTTTTTAATCAAAACGTTCTAAAAATCCCTACATTTCACCCATGTTTTGTTTTTTAAATTATTCATATATCGAATTAAAAATATAACGTAAAGTTTCCGCACTTTTATAATCTACCGTCAGATTGGCAAAAAAAAAAGAATTATAAAATATTTCGTTTTAACTTGTGGTAACCCTGATTGCTGTGGACTAAATGTAATAATTTTTTTGAACAAAATTGTTTATTACTTAAGTTAATTCAATTACAATCTTTACCTGTACATATATTTATAAGAGATATACATTTTTAGTGCAAAAAATACAGAAAACCTTGCAGAATAATTTATTTGATTAACTCGTAAAACAAAAGGAGGACAGAATTTACAAAATACTGGAATCCAAACATGAATATTTCAAAGTGAAGCTTACTCTTATTTCGTTTACACCTTAAAGATACCTAGAAAAACACAAAGAAAGATTATCTCTGAGAAAATACAAGCGTCCAGTTGTCTAAGTGGCAAGTTCAAAAAGAGGCGAACAACAGCTGTGCTCTGAATAATAAATAAGTATGTATAGCCGGTCATAGTACCTCTTGCAGGACGTACACATACGTAGGTAAAACGACCGAAGGGTGCAAAATTTTGCCCGTTGGCGCGTCGGCCAGAAGAGCTTGCGCACTGCGTGTGGATGCTGTGATATGTGCGAGAGGCGAGAGCTAGAGATGACGCGCGCGCCTACAGCTTTTCGCTCGGTACATCAGTCGATGCGCCGGGTCTCAAGAAAACAGACGCGCTGCGTAACTCTAGCTTGGAGTTTAATGCTTCAAATTCTATAACCGGTTCATTCTTGTAATAAATATATATTAAACCTTTTTAAACAAACATTATGCTTAATGATGTTTGATTTTTATATATTTGTGATTACATTTCATGTGCTCACACCATACATATCACATGTTTAAGAGTGTTGTAAAGTAAAGGTTACTATCTTTTTTTTTAATTTGCTTCTGTTTCTGTGTTGACTTGAGTGTTATTTGGTGAATGTGCGCTCAAAAAGTGAGTATGTGTTATTGAATAACCATAAGCTGCTGAAATTTGGGGTACTGGAAAGTGGCTTGCTGAATTAAAAAATTTCTACAAGAAACAAATTCACTCCTTTGTGCTTTATTTTTCACCAAAGAACGATCATAAACTCAACAGGTACCGTATTGATTATTGCATGTTTTTAAACTGAGCTCAAAATACTCATACTATTATTGTACTTTGCGTTTGCATTTATCAGAAATCTGCAAAGATTCGATTAGTCGATTATTCTAGCAAATAAGCTACAAGAGATAACTAATAACTGCCATCCAAAATCTACACGCCAAAACTTTACACGCCTATACACAAACTGTACGCAAAAAAAAGTATCTGGATAGACATGTAATTTTGACAATGCGCATATTAATATTGTTTGAAACAAAAAAATGTTAATAATCTTTATTTTTCGTTAGTTTTAAAGTTTGAGTTACTTAAAAGTCACGACAAAGCTTTCTTATATCTATTTATGAATGCAGATATGTCTTGTAAAAAGTAAATAGCGGTTCTCCAGGGAAAAATTCAGTGCGGACGCTGTTGTTGCTCATCGCAAAAGTAAAGTATGTTCAAGCAAACCCCAGTTGAAGCTCCGATGTCGGTTCGAGTATTCTCCTTACACCTTCTGAAAGGCCAAGCCCCTTTGCTCGGACGGCGGGAAGCTTGGTCTATTCGGGAAGCTTGCGGTGTTCAACCGACAAAGCACGCGGTATTTTCATGCTTGTATATATACACACGCAGCCGAGACAAAGTCTCCGCAACTACTTCTATACGTGTATACACACCAATGCGGCGGCTTCGTACCGCAATCGTCGACAACTCATTCGATGCAGATTGACGAACCGATAATAGCCTTGTATTCCATCGCTGCTGCTGGTTTATTTCTTTCGAATTTTCAACTTCAGCCATTTGTACTTTTCTCTTTTTCTTCTTTTGCAATTATTTAATGTTCGGAATTTCGATTTGAAACTCGAAACATAAATCCCAGTGATGGAATGAATTTTTGTCGATAAATTTGAAGCGTACGCGATTTTGCAGATGGTCGGTTGCAAATGGCAAGTATTTTATGCTCACATTGAATGGTTCGAAAAGCAATTTAGTAAATGATGCTGCCGTCACCGATACATGTTGTTTCAATTTCTCTTAAAACGTGTAGAGTACTTATTGCCGTGAACATACGCAATAAACCAGGCTAAGCGGATTATTTTAGCCCGACGTCAAATTTCTTCATGTCAGAGAAAACTGTCAGCGAGAAAATGTACCCATGATATAACTATGCCTATATATATACTCATGCATGATAATAATCGAAAACATGTTTCTCGCTGAAGTATAAGATGACAATTGGAAAAGTTATCAGAGTACAAATACATCCAACGTTTAAATAAGTTTTTTCAGTCAAACTTTTTTCGTATTTTAAAATCAGTTTTACGTAAATTGAAGAGCCGATTCAGAATGGAAATTTGCAAAAACGTCGCAAAATCACATTTTTATTAAGTTTCTCAGAAAAATTGAAATATACTTGATTATTCAACATATTATCATCAGTTTTTAGTAGTTATTTTATTATGTTTTTCTTAAACAACATTTAACAAAGAAAAGTTTTTTTTTTTGAATGTATGTGTCTTAAAGCACTAAAAATTATTTCTAGCGTCTCTCCTTTCTCTTTGAAAAAAGTTTCTCAACTTTACAAACATCTTGCGAGAAAATGAAGGAAGTTTAGAGAGTTTTTAATATTAGAGTATAGCACCGAGTAGCCCCTTTAGTACCTCCGATATATGCCCATAATATGAAAGAGACGTCTGATCGAATTAATTGATGAGCAGTTTCCGAAGTCTAGTCGTAACATTGGTAGGGCTATCGATTTATTATACAGGTGACTTTTTCAAGCAAGTTTTCGTAATTAAACAATTAATAAAGACAAATTTAATAATAAAAATGATAAAAAGCACAATAAATAAATCAAAGGCTTGGTGGAAAAGCATAGCAAACAAACAGAGTTCACGTCTTCGACTAATATAGTCTGGTCTGCTCAGTTTGAAATCAAGAAAAAGTATAGACTGCTAACAAGCAAGTCTACAGGGGCCTCCTCAAAGATAACAGCTTGTGAAATCCAGAAGAGCAAAAATACTACACTACCCAAAAAACGAAAAGCATCGTAGAAGAAGTTGGGCACGCGCGGCTTATTTATAATAGAAGGAAGCTTGGAAAAAATCAAATCGCTGAATTGTTTAACGAGCTACTAAAGCAGTAGAGCAAAAGCCTAGGTAGAATTGGTTAGTCGGTACATATGTATAAATGTATCGATCAAGCTGGCATTGGAGGCACAGTTGAGCCCGCGAGCGTTATCCTACGTTGTTGATGTCGAGGGGAAAGCTTTCGCATATACAGTATAGACAACCATACGTGCGCGCGGCCCACGTGATGAGAATAAGCCATGCGCTAGTACACGACTCTTGGGTATGAAATATCCTCATTGACGATATCTCTCTCATAGCTTCCTGCTTTTGATGTAGCTTATAATGAGCTAGCCAAGTATAACTGTCAGGCAGCTACACATAATCAATCCGAAGGATCGTTTCGCATTTGCGTTCGGAGCACTAAACACGGGCTACATCTATGCATATATGAGCCGCGATATATACTGGCTGTATTGGTAGTTTACTCAAAGCGTCAGACTTTTTGTTACGTCGCATGTGCGGCAGCCAATCGCTATTTTTCATTTACCAATCAGCTTATATGCGCAGCAGCTTGACCGATGAGGGTAAAAACCACTGCGCAAAATTACATTATGCACATGCCAACCTTTTTTGGTGGCAATCGATTTTCTCCACTATATGAGCACGCGAATCAATCCTATTCGAAAGAGCTCGCTCTTTTTTCATACCGCAGACCACAGGGATTCCGAGCATGTGTGCACGAATGTATGGGTCGCGTGGGTTGACTGAAAAAATAAATATGTATATCCAACGCTTCAAAGGGATTCTCTGCCCTCCTTGCCGTGTACTTTGAGTATTATAACGCGAATGATATATAGAATGTGCTGCGCGTGACAGACATAACAATTTATACGTGTTATTTTTGTTCAGCATTGACTTGTATACGCGATGGTTCTTTTTCACCCTCTCACGGGTGCTCCGAGAAGCATCGGTTCTGAAACCCGACTTTCTTACAAAGTTAATTTTACAAAAACTTGAAATGGCCATGTGAAGAATACTTGTTACACGAACATGGAAAGAATAAGATTCAAACTTCAGACTAGCTCTTTAATCAAAATATGCTCGTG